TCACAGTTTTACTGCTGCCCAGTGGACATGCTCTGACCACCAGAGCCCATTACTAAAAGCTCCTTTGAAGTGAAGCAAATACTTTTAAGTGAAATCCGGGAGATAACCCTACTCTCTGCCCCCATCCCAGGAATGTCCCTCCCCAATCCTGTCCCTGGACTTAGACCTGACTCCAGTATCCCAGGCTCCCCCAGCATTGTTCCTGTTGTTTGCAGTGGCTGTGCTGTTGTTTTTGTGTTTGAGAGGTGGGGGAGGATAGATGTGTTTCTAATTGGGATACTCTGACTGGGGTTACAAAGCAATTCTCCCGAACAGTGAGGGAGGGGAAAATAAAAGAGGAAGAATTACAGAAAACTCAGAGCTGGAGTAGGAGAAAGGGTCCAGCAGGCGAGGACACAAAATGTGGGGTCCATTTTTCCCAAAGTCTGGGATGATCTGAGACTAGCAAGGTAGGGTGGAAAGGTCATGGAGAGCTGAAAGTTAACAAAAGTTTGTGAAGGGAAGGACTGACCTGAAATCAGCAGGAGGTGGGCAATGGTGGGACCTAGACAGGTGCTGCGCTTGGCTGAGGCTACCACAGTTTCTCAGTGCTGAAGGCTGGCTTGGTGGGGAGGAGCCGAGCTCCAGCTGGTTTGGGAAGGTGTCATCCTGTGGACTCCAAGGCTAACGGGGAAGTGAGGGACAGTGGGCTGGGGGTGGTGCTGGGACCTCGGAGGTAGACCTGGTTCTCATCCTATCTCTTTTCCTCCTTCTCAATGACCTTGGGCAGCCAGTCTGTGTCTGGTCCTTGTCTTGGGATGGAGCTAAGCTCCCTTCCCTTTCTGGGTGGTTTTGAGGTACATGTGCCAAGTGCCTGCCATATATATCTTGAGCTCTGGAGCATTTTCTCGTTAAGTGGTAGAACCAGGGCTGGTGGTGGTGGGGCTTGGCCTCCATCTCCAGCCCTGTCTGCCAGGATGCACTTGCCTCTCTAAGCTCACACCTAGGCTGTTTGCTTAAGGGATTAGAAATGTTTTCGGCACCTATTTTGCTTTTGGGTGCACCCTGTTCCTGCCTTTGCAGGGACATGCTAAGCTGATGTCCATCCAGGTGATCAGGCTCACATCTGAGGAGAGTAGCTTCAGACAGAGTGGGTGGGCACCAGGATATGGTGTGCAGGTGCCAGAGGGTACTGGCTGATGACAGTCATTGGCATTTCCTGGCAGGACACTTCAGGAACTCTGGAACTGCATGCATATTGGGGAGCTCTGGCTGTGTGGCTTAGGCTTAAAAAGGTGAAGAGCAGAGCCCCAGATAATCCTCTGACCACTGTGTTCCTGGAACTGGGCTGGTCCCTGCAGGCAGGGGCAGGGCTGTGTTGGAGCTGCCTGGGTCAGCTGCGGCTCTCAAAAGCCTTCAATGCAACCCTCAGAATAGAGCTGGAGCTCATAAATTCTCCCAAACAGCACATAAACAAACTCCCTTCCACCTCCTCCACTTGGCTCTCCGAGACTTCCTTTGGCCTTTGAAGCTGGCGTGGTTGTTTGTAGAAACCTGGTGTCAGTTGGGTGAAACCTTGGGGAGGGGAAGAAGGAATGTTCCTGGCTGCCCCATCTCCGATTTCAGACCCTGGATCCTCTCGGGCCACCGTTCACTTGTTCACTTGGATTCATTCTTGTTCTGTTACTTTATTTTTAGTTGTAAAAAAAAAATCTAATTTACTTCCTTCATCACTTTTCTTGTGTGTGTGTGTAAATGTGACACTGAGGAGTGAACCCTCATGCTTACATGAATGTTCCCATGGAGCCACATCTCTAGCCCTTTTGTAAAATTTTGAAACAAGATCTTGCTAAGTTACCTTTCTCCAATTTGTGATCTTATTGCCTCGGCTCCCCAGAAGCTGAGTTTAAAAGTGTGCATCACTGTTTCTGGCTCACCCTCACTATTTTTAAGTGTGCAGTTCATTGGTGTGAATTGTGCTCATCTCAGTGTGCAACAGACCCACCTGTCCCATAACCGCGGCTGCTGTGAGTCTGCTGACTGTAGATATTTAGTAAGTGGTCTCACGCAGTATTTTCCCTTTTGGGATGGTGTATTTCACTTAGCATAATATCCTCAAAGTTTATCCATATGGTGCATGTGGTAGAGTTTCCTTCTTTTGTAAAGCTGAATAATGTTCTATTGTGTGTAAATATCAAAATTTTCTTTATCCATTTATCAGTGATGGACCATTCAGCTTGGATTCCCGTCCTGGCCCCTCCCCACATTGTGGTGTACCTAGTGGAGGCTGAGGACCTTTAGATTCCCAGGGGCTACTAGGCACTGTTCTCACTTTCAGGATCCTCAGATTAGAGGCTCTGTTGCCTCACCTTCCCTGAACCCCTACGAATTTTGACCAGAGCCTCCTTCATTCCTGTCATGTTTACTGTTTCTGAACAAATGCTTTAGCTATGAGCCTATACTGCTTCGACAAACATTTCAATAAATAAATACGTTAAATAAATGGGAAGCTACAATGGATTTTTGAGCTTAAAAAAGTTTGGAAACTTCGAGGTTATTTCATTTGGTTGAGGTGAGGTTTCTGATTTCCATTTTTCAGATGTGAAAATAGACAGTGGGACCCTGGAAAGGAGGAAGCTGAGGTGGGGGAGGTCGGGGAGTCAGAAGACCCCTGGGGGTCAGGTGGGGTGGAGAGTGGGCCAGGTGCCTTGGCTGGGTCAGGCCTTCCGGAGGGGAGGGGAGTGTCTGTCACTTGTTATACTTTTGGCCTGGGTACCTGACTTGTCTCCCTTGGCTCTAGCCATGGGCTGGCTACTGAGCCTAACAGAGACCTGCTCACGTCAGGAGCAGGTGTCCCCAGACTGGAGTCCCTTGGGCCTCCTGGGAAGTGGAGAAGGCCTGGGAGACAGAAATCTCAGGACCTGCCCTTGGGTCTGAGATACCTGTTGTTCCTAGGCTGATCACCTTTTGCCTTCTCGGATGTGGGTTTTCGGAGTCCCCCTGTTCGCCTTCCCTGTTCCTCCCACCATACTAGAGCTTTATAGGGACAAATGTGGGGCTAGTGGGTGCCACAGGATGCCAGCTGCTGATGGGTGGGGGTCAGAGTGGGAGGCGCAGAGGTGAAGGCACTGGCAGAGGTGGAAGGATTGACCTCCTCGAGAGCCGGCCAGCAGCTCCAGCTGGCGGGCCCTCTGCCTCCTCTTCCTAAAAGGCAGCAATAACCGTGGCCTCAGGATTGTTGAGACAGCAAAAGGGGAAGCAAGCAAGACGGTGCTTGGTGAAGCAGAAAGTGCTCGGCAGGTGGGGGTGTCCCCCATGGGGTCTCAGGTCATCCCCCAAAGAGGCCATGGGGAATCTTGATTCGCCCACCCACAGGATGAGTTGTGGGTTTGCCGGCTTTTGTTACAGAAAGACAATTTTCAACATGTGGGTCAGTAATGGGCATAAAAAGGTTTATTAGGCAGAATTTTGGAGAGAGAGAGAGAGAGAGAGAGAGAGAGAGAGAGAGAGAGAGATTGATTATTATGGCCTGGAGTTGGGTATATTTATGTACTTAGGGTATCTTTGAGTTTCTAGAATGTTCCCAGGTCCCCAGGTCCCTATTTGGTGGCTCTGTGACTGTTTGAAGCCACATGCTTTCTGAAGGATGGGTCCATATAAGTGAGTGCTATCCAGAGGTGAAGGCACTGGAGATTTCCCTTTCCTGGTTTATTTTCTTCAAGATCCTTAGGAATTTTTTAGTGAGTTTCCTGGAGGCGAAAAAAAGCCCAAGTAACTTTTTGTGTCCCAAAGCCACAGTTTTTCTTAAAAGTTCAATTTAAAAAATATGATCATTAATATCATCCTTATGTTTTTTTCTCTTTCTGCCTTCTCTCCTACCTCAGGAGGCTGATTTCCCTCAGAGGAAGGTGGTGGAGGCCAGGTGAGGCCAATGGTGGGGAGAGGGACTGAGGAGTTTGGGATTCGCAGGTGCACAGAGGAAGAGGGGACACTTTAGTGTGTGGGATGTGGACAGCCTGGTGCATGTGACCAGCGTGTTGTGCTGTGTGTGTTGTGTGTGCATGTGGGGTGTGTGTTGGGGGTATGTGTGATAGTATGCTTTGTGTGTGATGTGTGTGTGGTGTTGTATGTGTTGTAGTTGTGGCATCAAACGTGCGCTGCGTGATCTTGAGTAGGTGTGTGCTGTGCTGTGGAGCAGTGTTCTGTATGTATGTTATGGTGTATGTGTGTGTAATGTTGGGTATGTTTGTGGTGTGTGTTGTATGTGTCCTAGGATTTGTGTTGTGTGTGATGTTGGGTGTGTGTGTGTTGTGCTATATGTATTGTGTGTCCTGGGTGCCGTGGTGGATGAGTTGTGGCATGTGTGTGTATTGTGTGTGTTATAGGGTGTGTGGGGGTTGTGGTATGTGTGTGATGTGTGGTTTGTGTTGTGTATGTTGTGGATTTTTGCTGTGCTGTGTGTCGTTGGAGTGTATTGTGTGCATTGTGTATGTGTGTGTGTGTTATGTGATGTCCCTCTCAGCCCTTTTCTAGCTTTCAGGGTGGCGGCTGCCAGTGGCTGTGGGGGCACTACTTTGCAGCCCCGAGCTCTGGTCAGATGGCCCTGTGCCGCCACCTGGTGGCCAAGGATGGCAGCTGATGGTGCATTTCACCCACTCTTGCAGGCTGGGTGCCTTCTCTCCTCTGCACTCTCCACTCCTTAGGTCCCAGCTCCCTCAGCCACTCGTCCTCACTTGCTCTCCTCCACCCCCACTCCACCACCGCCTCTGTACCAAGGGAGGCAAATTTCTCCCTGGTCTTCCCAGCTCCCGAGGCTTCTCGGGCATAAGCGGGAGTGATAACGCCCAAGGTGCCCACCTCCCAGGTGGCTGTGAGGGTGACTCAGATGAGTAGAGGGGCCACAGCAGCTCCACCAGCCACTCACGGATAGGATAGCAGTGTCCATGACATTTGTGCAGCTGTCAGGTGGCCTTGTGTGTAACAGTCCCTAGACTTCATCCCTGCCAGAACGGGGAGCAGTGATAGGGTGACAAGAGGACTGCCGGCTTCAGGGATTTGCACTTCACATGCTGACAGCTGTGTTTTTTTTTTTTAAATAATGATTTTAAAAACAAACAAAGGAGTGATTTGAGACTAAGCACCTTACACTGTGCATTTTAACCAAACAATTCAGACAGAGGTTGTGACTAATCTTGGGAGTGTTGTGCAGGCCTCCTTCGGGTTTTCTTTTTTTCTTTCCTTTTCTTTTTTTTGGTTTTGGTTCCAGGGATCAAACTCATGACCTCACACTTGTGCACTTGCCAGGCAGGCGCTTAAGCTGCTGAGCTAAATGCCTGGCCTGTTCTGGTTTTCGGTTTTCATACTGATCCTGCCTTCCCAAAGAGCAGTGGCCTCTAGGACACTGCCCATGGGTTGGTGGCTGCCCTAAACCTGCGGTGACCACTTCACTTATTTGTACATTCAGCTTCTAGGGCAATGGCACATGCCTGGCACTGCATCCCACACAGGGAACAAAAGCCAGTAAGGTCTATGGTGGCCCCCAGTGGCCAAGGTCAAGCCAGGATAAATACTCCCACAAGGCTGTGCAGGGGACCCCCAAGAGTCTGGGGCCTTTAACCACTAGTGGCTCTGGGCTACACAAATGTGGATCTTAACCCCACTCTGCCGTGTGCGCTCATCCCAAGACTCGGAAATGCAAGTCAGCAGATCTGCGCTGGGCCCTGGAATTGCATTCTGATAAAGCCCCTGAGAGACCAGGTTTGTAGCTCTTTCTGGAACATAGCTGGACTAGAGAGTGGTGGCAAGGCAAGGGATTTCAAGGTGACAGGCTGTGGCCCACCCAAGCAGAGTGGCTGTCTGAACACCTGGGGCCTCTGTTGATTGTCCCAGGACTGGAAGGCTACACACTTCGTTGTGTGGCTGCCAGGTGGGTTCCGTTGGTGGCAGCCACCAGGAGGCACTTGCTTCCGTGCAGACTGCAGGGTCCTGACAGTGGCAGCTTCCTTCTCTGCCGTGAGGTGGGTCACACATTTCGGGTAGCAGGTGGGGGTTTGATGAGCTCATCACAGTGCCTCTCCTTTCCTGTGGTGCTACTGCCTGGCCCAGCGGAAACGCTGTATAGTGGCCGAGTCTGCTCTGTGCTGCAGTCAATTGCCTGTAGAGGTGAATAAATGGGTCAGCGTCACCACAGGATGCAAAGAAACTCTCTCTGTGATAGCATCTGCAAAAGTAAGTTCTGGACACGATAGTTCAATGTAATGTATAGCCTTAACTCATAACCATTCACTTCAAAATCGGAGGGAGAATGAGATGAGAATGGAAAAAAAGAGACTAATACTATGACCAGCTTAGAGTAGGTCATGTTGTGTGGACATCAGTAGACAGGTTTCTTTGTAAAGCAGCTCCTCAGATACTTGGATAAATGATTTCCAAGTGGTGGGAGGTGCTGCAGCTTGCATTTCCCGACTGTCTTTGGATGTAAATCCTTTTGGTGACCGTCTTGCTGCATGAGGCTTCCAAGGGTTTCAGTTTGGGAAAACATCTTCCTTTCCACCCCAATAAAGGGAATAAAGCAGTCTGACTTTTAACCTGGTTGGTATTGTCAGTCAGCAAAAAGATACCTGCTAGGGATGAAACTAGTTGTGTGTATGTGTGTGTGTACGTGTGTCTGTAGTACCAGGGATTCAAACATTATTTGGAGACAGGGCTTCATTAAGTTGCTCAGGTTAGCATTGACTTCTGATCTTTCTGCCTCAGTCTCCCAAATAGGTGGGATTATAGTGTGCATCACCATGCTCAGTTAAGAAGAGTTGTGTGTGTGTGTGTGTGTGTGTAACCTCCACTTTAGCCCCTCCTTCTACCTTTTGTTCCCTTGACTTTTCCACCTGGTGAGTAGCTTTGCATCTACTGTTAATATCCTGAGTAAGCCTGGGATTCATAATCAACCTCTTCCGCACTCTCATCCCTATCTCTAAACTCCATAAAGTCCTCAATTTCTGTTGCGTTCCCCATTTTTAATCTTTGTCCTTGTCACTGCCTGGAGAGCTCTCATTTTGCACTAAGATTTTTTTCTTAACCTGAATTGTTGCCAAGCGCCTCCAGATGAAAGGACCAGCTTTCTGCTGGAAGGCCTTTTAATAGTGGGTCACCCCCCGCCATGTTTCACCCTGTCCTCCTGTCTGCCGTCGTCAACCCCTCCCCATATGCTGCCAGTCTCTAGGCTTGTAAATGATTCTATTCTTTCAAAGTGCCGTTTTTCCGTGATGCTTGATGGTGCTGTTCTGCTGGGTCTGCTTTCTACTCCTCTTTTCTACAGGTAAACACCCATATACCTCCTCTGAGAAGTTGCTTTTAATTTTTCCAAAATACTTTCTTCCCATCTTTACCTTAAGGCACTTCTGGGAAGACAGACATTACTAAGGGCCTTCTTCATTTGTAGAATTTAGTATACTTCATTTTAATCTATTTGTCCATTTTTTCAACTTAGCCTGTCTTTTTGATACAAGGGAAGAAACTCCCAACTCACTAGATGCCTGGTACGAGTTTGTGTTCTCTAAAATCGAAGAATGAATTTTAGGATCAATGGAGGTTAAGAGCAGAATATTTATTGAGAGAAAAAAAGATTCTGTCAGAAGTAGAGAGAGAGAGAGAGAGAGAGAGAGAGAGAGAGAGCGAGAGAGCGATGGAAGGGGTCCCGAGTGGGTCGCCCTAAAATGGGTTCCTGAACTGTGGGGTCTTTTTGTGTACCCAGTGCAGGTACATATCCAGTCCCTACTTGGATATCCAGTGTATCCAGAGTATTATAATTTCATGAAGGAGGGAACATTTGGGAAAAATGTCTAAAAACACTACTTAGGAAGGGAATTGTGGGGAAATAAGTTGAGAAATACTGTCATAGAGGCTTTCAGCCTTGGGCTTGGGGATGGCTGTGTGCCGCATGCCTTAGGGTACCTGGTTTACTTCTTTGAATTTAGGGTTGCTGACCTCAGATATGGTGATTCTTGCCATCTCCTAAGATTTCTAGGAGTTTTAATGAGATAAACACGGATGACTCTTCACAGGAGATGTCAGGAAATGGGAGCCAGGGCAGGGATGTGTCCTGGTAGGACAGTGCTTGCTTAGCATGTGTGAGGCCCCCAACACTGCAACAAAGAAAGGACAAAAATAAAGGAGGTGAAAGAGGAACCCCTACTATTGGACATTTTTTCTTTAAGGTTGCAAACTGATGTGTAAAAATCCAGGGGCCTAGAAACAGAAATGGGAGCACACTTGTTTAAAACTTCCAAGGTTAAAAAAATAAAAGCAACATATCCTGGGGACAGTTCACCCAGTTAGGACCAGTAGCTGCAGTCCCACCCATTGGGTGCTGAGCTGCTCTTCTGTACACCAAGGTTCCTGACCCCAGATGAGCTCCTCAGGCCCACCCGGTATACACTTTGATAGCAGAGGCTGGGAGAGACTGGAGGTGGGTGGGACAGGTCCAGGCAGGAAATGTCTGCGGGCCCTAAAAATAGCATGGGAGGGAACAGGAAACAGAAACCTTGGGCCAGCATGGAAATCAGAACTAGAGCTGGGGGAGCGGCCACCTCCCTGCAGCAGAATCAGTTCCTTGGGAGCAATGTGGGGAGGTCCCGCTGGAGACAGTAGGCTCCTGTCCTTTGTTTTGTTCTTAATGCAGCACATTTGTGCTCTCTTCATGTTTAATGGCCCATAGATGCCATTCTGTGTTTGAGCGACCTACCGTCCCCATTTCCCAGGGCTCTGGGACATGGAAATTTGAGTGTTAAAATAGGAGAAGCACTAGGCCAACTGACAAGCTGGTCACTATTTTTGAAACAGGCTGCGTAAAGGTCTGAAACTCCCTTGCAGTGAGCTCATCTTGCCTGTACAGTGAGACACCCTTGGTGATGGACCATGCTGCTCCTCCCTGGCCAGTGAAACTCACCTCTGGGTGTGATCCTGCTCTTTGGCATTTTTCAAAGCTCTCCAAGGGGAGTGATTCCTATCTGCAACCATAAACTGTGGGCTTAGAATGGGTGAAACATCACCTGGACTTGTTACCTGGAACACTCAAGAGTCTCACTCAGTAGTTTCCAGTGGGAGTTGATGCTTGGGTTAATCCTAAATCATGCAAATGTCTGATGGCACAGTGCTTGCCTAGCATGTGTGAGGCCCCCAACACTGCAACAAAGAAAGGACAAAAATAAAGGAGGTGAAAGAGGAACCCCTATCTATGGCACACTTTGAGAAACACTGATCTAGTGTTTTATTTTCTAAGGAATCTGCTAGCTTTAAAGATACACTTGACACTGGTTGTTAATCATTGCTACTCATATATGATGCTGATGAGCAGATACAAAGTACCCCAAACTCTTCAGAGTTGCTATTTTAAAGTCACACTAGTGGTCAGTGGGCTTTGAGCCTTGACTGGGCTCAGATATATGCATTTGTGATTTTGATTTCAGAGGCACAGATTAGACCAAGCCTAGACTTCACAGCTCTCTTCACTGGGTACTGACTTCCCCAGTCCTTTTGTTCGTGTGTGGGAAACTCATGCCCACCTCCTGGATAAAAATTGGAAGCTGCTGAGGCAGCTGGCAGCTCTGTTCTGTGTCTGTGAACCTAGGTCAGCTACCAGTGAATACTTTTTATGTGGCTACTTTTTGGGTCTCTGTAGCTCCAGTCACTGGAATCCCTGGTTTCCTCTCTTGCTGCTGTCCAGGGCCTCAGGTATGCTGCTAAGTTAGGGGCCATGCATATTTGGTCCAAGATGTCCCGGAGCATGATTTGGGCGCAAAGGTTCTCCCTGGCTTCTGAGATCTGCCACACCTCATAATATCATGGGAAGTGAGGAAGGAGTGAGCCCTATGGCCTGAGGGATGCTGGTAAGTTGTCTCCTTCATGGGCAGTTAGTGTCAAGGAGGGCTGTCCAGATGGGGGGTGCAGGAGGCTGGACACAGATGACTTGTTGTGGGCCCAGGTGGCAGATGCTTTGTGTAGGACACTGTGTACCAGTTGAGAGCCACTGCAGGCTTTGGTAGGCAGGGTGTACACTCAGGATTTGGGGAGCCAGAAGTGACCACAGCCACCTTCTCACATGGGGATCCAATGAAGTCTATGGAGGGAAGGTGGGCTCAGGAAAGAGCAGGGGCTCACTATCAGGGCTGACCCCATCCCACACCGCATCCCTATGGCACAGCTCTGTTTGCTGTCTACCAGGGGTAGGAAGATTCCAGAGCCTGGGCCCTGGCTGGATCTGCAGAGATGATCAGGGTGTGTCCTGGGGTCAATTCAGCAGCCTCACAAGAGAGAAAGGAAGCCTCACCCGTGGTTTCTGGCTGCTTTAGTGGGGATAACTGCCCCTACCACTGTTTCCAGCCTCTCCCCCCTCCTTCCTCCTAGTCCTCCTCCTCTTTTGTTTTCTTTTCAGTGTCCAGAATTGAACTCAGGCCCTCATGTGTGCTATGCAAGTGCTTTACCACTGAGCTAAATCCCTAGCTTGCTTGCTTGACTTATTTATTTATTTGTATTTGAGACAAGGTTTCTCTAAGTTGCCTAGGCTGGTATTGAACTTGTTATCCTCCTACTTCAGCTTCCTGAATACGTACGCACCACTATGCCCAGCTCGCCCAGCCCTTCTTTAAATGAAGTCTGTGCTGCTTGTCCCCATGCCTAACCCAGGCTGACACAAGTGATCTTGTTTATGAATTTAAATTTTGTTTTCAGGAAAATCATAGGAGCTCAAAGGACATTAACAAAAAGGCGAGAAAAATGCATAGATTCAGGGGGCTCTGGTGCACTGTTGTGGTTCGTTTAGTGGAGTGCATGATTGCTCATTAAGTGTTTAGGATGGATGGTAGAGAAATGCAGTAGTTTAGGTAAGTAGCTCTGCGGTGGGCTGAGCTGGTTATTTATGGTTATATGGTTGCTTTATAGTTCAAGGGTCTCTTGAGCAATCAATATGCTCATTTTCCTGTTTTATGTGACTTAAGAGCAAAGTCATATAATTTTTAAACAGTCTGGAAGACTTGGTGTTCCGGAGTCTGCATTTGGCTGCACTTTTCATTGTGTGTATGCCTTGATTGAAGCTGAGACTTTACGTGGTTAAGCAGTGGGTCCTGACTGAGTTCCTTCAGTTGTGTGTGACCTTAGTAGCCTGCTCCTTTGAACTTCAGTTTCTTCTATACAATGAAGAGAACGTATTGCGAGCCTTCCAGGGCTAAATGCAACAGTGGATGTGAGAGTCCTCTCTGCACTACAAAGTTCTGTGCAAGGGCAAGGCATTATTTCTTCTGTTATCGTTCAGTATAACATTGTTTCCATGGGAAAGCCCAAGTTGCTTTGTAACAATTGGATTTACAGCATGGTTTCCAGGAATGCATTTGTCTCAAATCAGCCATTGGCCAAGAGAAACATAACCTGACCTAAGGATAAAGTGCACTGTGGCAAAAGGCAGGAACTACGTACGCAGGTTTCAATGGAAAGGGAAAAAGAAAACTTACACAAGCTGTGACATTCATCTTGCTCCACCTTGGCCATCTGTAATTAAGTTCTTGTATTAGTCAGGCTTCCCTAGAGAGACAGAAAAAACAGGGCAAGTGGGGAAGTGTGTGCATCTATCCATGTATCCATCCACCTGTCCATTCATCCCTTTCATCATCCACTCATTATTTGTGTATTATCTATAGTCTACCTGTCTGTCTATCTGTCTGTCTATCTATGTCTGTCTGTCTGTCTGTCTGTCTATCTATCTATCTATCTATCTATCTATCTATCTATCTATCTATTTATCTAAAGAATCGACTTCTACAACTATGGAGCAAGCTGGCAAATTAAAAATCTTCAAGATGATCTTCCAAGCAGGCTGGTGACCAGGGCAGAGGTGTGGTTAGAATCCAGAGTTATTCCTGCCGCAGAATGTCCTCCTGATGAGTCTGTTCCATTCAGTTTTCCAACTAATTGGATGAGGCCTGCCCCATGGCAGAGTTTGCTGATGTAAATATTTAATCTCGTGTAAAACAATCTTTCACAAGAGCATCTAGAATAATATTTAATGAAATATTTGAGTTCCATGGCTCAGCCAGGATGACAAATAATCTTTATCATCCTAGGGCTAGGGATATAGTACAGTGGTATAGTATGTGCCAAGCATGGGGACTGACCTCAGTCCCTAGCACTTTATACCCCTCAGATCTTCATCTGTGCCCCTCTTTAGGGGCTTCTACTTGCCTGTTCCCTCTCATCCAGAAGTTGGAAGATTTCTTTCTGTTTCTGTCTCTTTCTCTCTCTGGTACTGGGGATTGAGCTCAGTGCCTTGGCACTGAACATCATTCCCAGCCCTTTTTTATTTTTCGTTTTGAGACAGGGTCTCCCTAAATTCCTAACTGGAAAGAACTTGAGATTCTCCTGCCCCAGCCTCTTAGAGTACTTGGATTATAGATGTGTGTACCCCTTGCCCCCACTCCCACCCCCAATTCAGCCTGGCTCTTGCTCGTATTTTAATGCTATTACTAAATACATTTGTGTGTTCATACAGTAGTTCTTTCAAGTGAAGGAAGCTTTCACTGAAGCACCCAGACAATAGATGATGTTCAAGTCCCTGTTGAGGGATTTACAAAGGAGGACCAGGTGCCTGGCTGGGTGACTTGCCAATAGTGTGTTAGCTGGTATCACGTGAATAGAGGCTTAAGATACGCTTGCTCTGAAGACTTACCTCACATTTCTGCCACCACTGTGAAGAGATGTGTAGGTAAACTGATTTCTTAGGAAAAATACTTAGGAGCTTAGGGTTTAGCTCGGTGGCATAAGCACCTGCCTGGCAAGCATGAGGTTATGGGTTCAATCCCTGATACCAAAAAAAAAAAAAAAAAAAAAGAATATTCAGTTGGGTGTGCTGTTGCATGCCTGTAACCCCAACACTTGGGAGGCTGAGGCAGGAGGATTATGAATTTGAAGGCAGCCTGGGCTAGACAGCAAGTTCAAGAACAGTCAGAATTACATAGCAACATATGATCTCAAAAATGAAACAAAGCAAAACAAAACAAAATGCTCAAACAAAATCCAAGAATGAGTACTCACACTCAAACCCAACCAGAATCAGCAATCTTACCAATCTGACTCCCAGGTTTGTGAGCTAGAAATAGACGCTCACTTCTGTGTATCACTGAGCCTTGGGGAGGTTTATTATATAGCATTATTGTGGCATTAACTGCCCGGTAAAAAGAATTACCAAATAAAAATTAAAATTATGGTGATAATAGTAAGATAGACATTATTAATTGACTGGAGGGCATACTTGATTGACTAGAACTGCTTAAAATTCATTCTGGAGTAAGGAAAGAAAATGCCTAACCAAATAAATTTTAAAGAGCACTAATAGGGAACAGTAAGATTACTTTCTGATTATACCCATGAGTCCTCCTTGTTCGACTAAATAGTTACATATACCTCCATAAACAGCATGTAGGAATGTGATAAATGTTTAAAAATGTACACAAATAGCATCATGTTGTATTCTGCAAATGGCTCTTTCTGCTCAGTGTTATATTTTTAAGATTTAGTCACGTCAGGATGTTGCAGCAGGAATATAGCTCGGGGCAGAGAGCTTGCCTAGCATTCACAAGGCCCTGATATTGATCCTAGTTCTCCATACTCCCATATAGTTGTCAGTTGATGCTTACAGCTTTAGTTTTTCATTTACATTGTTGCAAAAACACTATATGAATATACCACTGTTTACAAAATCATTTCTCAACCAGGCATGGTGATGCATGTCTGTAATCTCAGTATCACAGACAGTTGAAATAGGTAGAAATATTATCAGCAGTCAGATGGGGCTGGTCCTTGAGCGAGTCAGGGCAAAGATGAAAACTCATCATGATTGTGGCCCGAGGGATGTCAGCTGGAGGCCGTGATCAAGATGAAGATGGGATGACCAGGCCTGAGGTAAGTGGTAACACCTGGCCTAATGAAGTCTAGATAGACGTCAGTCGCCTCAGTGGGTGACCAAGACCCTTGGACACATCCCCTCCTGAAAAGTTCTTTGTTCTTTCCATGTACACTTGCTACATGACATTCCTCCCCATTTTATCAACATTACTTAAGCAGCTATACTGATAGTCTTATTGGTTGATTATAACTGTCACGCACATTATACTCATGTAATTATGCTCTACAAAACTTCTCCTGAGAAATGGGGTCCTCAGCAACACACTTAGAGCCCCTCCTGCCTCTCAAGAGCTGTATTTTTCCTGCTCAATAAATATTTCCTACATTTAACCTCCATTGTTCCTAGAATCCATCCTTCAGTTTTAGAGGACATGAACTTGGTGTATTGGCTATCTAGCAGGTTGGGAGTTACAGTGTTTCCCTTATATCATATTTGGAGGTCCTTATATCATTCCTATATCACCAGCACTCTGGGAGGCTAAGACAGGAGGATCATAAGTTTGAGCCTAATCTGGGAAATTTAGGATCAGCCTATGTCAAAATAAAAAAAATTAGAAAGGTTTGGGGATGAATGTAGCTCGGCAGTGCCAAGGCCCTGGATTCAATTCCCATCACCGTAAAAAGTTTATTCTTCCGATAATGTACAGTTTGACTATTCCTTACCCCTCCTTTTTCTTTCTATAACAAACCATATTTCTTGTAGAATTTTATCATGGAGGCATCTAGTAGCAGAGCCTTCTTGTTCATGTACATGTGAGTGTAGATGTAGACTGGAGTAGTGATCGCTGGTGCTGTTTACCAGGCAAATATTTCCGTCTTTCCTCCTGCTGGGTGTAAGGTAGAATCTCATTTGTGTTTCCTTGTTGTCAGGCCCAGTTACACGAGTTGTAGCCAATGAGATGTAAGTGGAAAGGGTCCATGCTACTCGTATGTGGTTGCTTTTAAGACCTAATGTATGATCTCTTTCTCCTTCCTGCTGCCCCATGACCAATATTGCTTCAGAAGGAGAGGCTTGCCTAGCTGCTTCTTGGAATGAGAAGAGTGTGGAGCCCAAGCCCCAGACAATCTGTGATAGCTATGTAGCATGAGGAAGAAATAAACTGTGATTTCAGTCCCTGAGACGTAGATTTTGTGAAGTCAGCATAACCTTTACATTCTGCCTAGAACGCAGATCAGCACCTAAAGAGTGGGTCTCCATGACTAAATGCTTGACTAGGGGGCCAAGGCAAAGGCACCATGGGTATGCCTGAGAAAACAGACCTGAGGCTGGAGGAATGGTCACTCACAGTGTGGCTGGACAAGCATTTTGTAAAACTGCACTTGTAGAAATTGAGATAAATGAGAGTTTACCTAATAAATTTATGGAGTTAGAGAAAGAAGGTAGAAAGTGGACTAATGATTGTGTTAGTTGGTTACTCTGAACAGTTGGCAAGATATTTAAAGAAAGACGCATTAAGGACAGAATAGACCAATGTGCACTTTTTTATTATGGCTGGAGTTAGCAAAGGCTTCTCATCTCCAAAAAGCAAAAGATAAAACTGAGAAAACTTTGTGGAGAATGATTGAAACTCAGTTTGTAAGCAAGGGTTAAATTTAGGCTGTGGATGTGATGTCCATTTACAGGATCTCTGGATGCACAGTATTAAGGCATATTCTGATAAATGTCTGTACTGTAATGTTGGGGAAAATGAAACTTTTCAACTCTGACACCCCCTCCTGACAACCCCTCCTTTTCCCTTACTGGTTTGAAAAGTAAGGATCTTCACTACATCCTGTTACCTCACTCCCCAATTGGCTGAAGCCACCCAGATGTTCAGAGCTGTAAACCTGTCACCTATGAATGACTGCCTTTGTTATGCTTCTGAACTTAGCTTGCTTGCCTTTTCCCACCACAGCCTCGGTTTGAAGCTCTCATCCCCCAGGTTTGGGGCTCAGACTTTGGAGTGCTGAGTTCCTCTGGGCCTGCTAATGTGATAAAGCTTGGTTCCCTCCAATTCTCTGAGGGCCACTTGTTCACTTAGCCTCTAGTAAATCCAAAATTGTTGTAACAGTATCAGTTAGACAAAATGAATTGAGGAGAAAGATTGAGTGTGCAACAAAATGCCTTCATTTTTATCTAGAGCAAAGTAGTAGCAAAAAGAAGAGATACAGTGAAAAGGAATTCATTTTTTGTTTTATTGTTGGCAGTATATCATGAATACATTCATTGTGGGTAGTACATGTGCATGACACATCTTATTTAGGAGATTTTTTTTTTTTATTTTGGCACCGGGAATCAAACTCATGATCTTGCTGCTTGCCAGGCAGGCGTTTAAGCCACTGAGCTAAATCCCTGGCCCTAGAAGATTTATTTTTGATGGGATTTTGATGTTTGGTGTTTCCTGGCATCAAATGGTAAGAACTGATGGTTATGAGAGAATTACATTGCCAAAAGAACCCCTGCCTGATCTAGATTTTGAATGAGTATTAAAACAATTCTTGCTTCGTAAAACACTTGGTTCATGGGGAGACCACAGTTTTTTGCAGTCTACGTAGCTTTTGGAGAATAATGGAAAAGGGAAATCTCTTGAAGGACAAGGTTGGTGAGCTGGAATCAGGTTCTAACCTGTGGGGAAGATGCTCAGTGATCTCAGGATTGCTGAGGATTAATGTCTGCTGTAACTCACTGCTTTCTTCTCTGAATGGGAGAGTTTGTGGCTATTTTTTCTTGTCTTAAGGTTCCTTACTAAATGCAGGTTTGTTGGGAGGAACAATTTTTTTGATATCCTAATAAGGGGCACCCCAAGGACATGCAGAGATAACTACCTATCACTTTCATAGAAGTTACTGTATTGTGAGAAACTGGGTATCTTGGGCTTTGAACTTGTTACGATGCTAACCTGGGGCTTTAGGTTGTCTTCTTTAACTTTTTATCGGTACCAGGGATCGAACTCATGACCACCTGCTTACAAGGCAGGTGCTTATGCCGCTGAGCTAAATCCCCAGCCCCAGCTAAATCCCCAGCCCCTAGGTTGTCTTCTTGAGAGGGAGTGGAGTATATTTTAAACCCAGGAATGAGAATACATCAAATATTGGGTTTGGATAAGGATTGACTCTGGAGATCATTACTGCTGCTTAACAATATTCTGATAGTGCTCTTCTGAGCTGTTGTGTGATGGATCTCTCATCTGACACTGGTCTCAAAAAGAATTGAGTGAATCTCATGATGTCATGAGTTGTGCATTAAAAAAGACATTATTAAAAAAAGAGAGAACTCAAAAAAGCAGGCTCAGCAAGACGAAGATGCACATACTCCCTCTTTCTCCATCTCCTCTTGGGGAGGCAGGCAGGGCCATGTCAGGATGTGGGGGCCATGCTGGGGGAAGACCGTTTCACATTACCATCCTTCCTGTTTGGAGGGAAGGTATGAGAGTGTGCTTTGTTAGAGGAGAAGACACAGTGTGCTTGAGAGCCTGGATTTGAAGTGGTGGCTTTAGCAGATTTGTCTAAGGACATGGAGGCAGATATAATGTTATTTGCCCTCTGCTGGTGGGGGGAAGGTATTAGGTTAGATGACAGAGCTATACCTTGGCAGAGAGGAGGAGTGGTCTCTCTGGTGCCAATCACCTTCTTTCTGGACAGCGCACAGTTGTGCCTGGGATGCTTTCCTTTCTCCTAGATGACAAAAGTGTCCACGCACTTGCCTCGGTCAGTAACTCAAGGAGCCTCCAGGTTCTTGCCCTTTCCTTTGGGAACTACCAAAGTTATAGGCAAGAAGTCTCTGAAAAAGAAGACAATGTGAAACAGACTCCCTCGCCACTCTGGGACATGGAGCAGGAGGGAAAAATGAAACTAGGTTGTCTCAAGCTCCTAATGCTTGTGAGTTGTTCTTAACCACAGCATAACTGTCTTAGGCTATCCTGGAATATACAAATGGATTTTCTGGATGACAGGTTATACATATCTCTGGCTTTCCTAGATAGTGCCAAGTCACCCTTGAGAATCATTGTTTCAACCCACACTGATCCTAACAAGAGAGAACTCAGAGCTTCGTCTTGGCCATTCCTTTATACCTCTACCCTGCAGTACTCATGGTTGGGCTCTCATCCGTCAATGAGCAGCCACCTGTTATCTGAGGACTCAGGCATGAACTGGATAGACTGCGTAGGAGGAAACAGGAGTAAGGATCTGGGCAGAAAGGATGAAGACCCGCAGCCAAGCAGATCTAAAGTCAAACAGAGAGGTCAGGGAAACATGAAGACATGAGAGAGGGTCAGCCAAGTGGGGCACTGGCAGATAAGCTGAGGCAACTGAGAGACTTGGATTCTGGAGAACAAAAGAAGAGGGTCTGTGCAACAAGGGGTCAGGCAAAGACTTGGTCAAAACAAAAGCATCCTCGCAAAGGCAAAAATCAATCGCTTTTAGAGCTAGGAGCTGCTTACATAGTTGGTGTTGATATCCAGGTAGCTTAGTTTGTATAGCTGCATAGAATAAAGAATTGGGAATGACACAGGAATGACACAGGAGAAATATTATGACTTCCAACTTGTTAGATGTCAGATATGCTGAGTTTGTGTTCCCCAATATCGAAGAGTGAATTCTAAGGAACAATGGAGGTTAAGAGTAGGAAATTTTATTAAGTGACAGCTCCTGAGAGGCAGCAGGGGGCCCAAGTAGTTTGCTCCAGGTCCCATTTTTCAGAGGAAGCTTTACAGAGCAAAATCATGAGTTGGGTACAAAATTACGAGGTGAGTACAAAATCATGAGGTGAGTATAAGATGGGACAAAATAATCTTTGTAACTTTACTGGTTACAAACATAGTCACTTAGGTAATTGTAGTAGTTGATTGATTGTGTCAGCTTGAGAAGTTGAGAACTTTAAATAAGTCAGCTCAGCAATTCTACACCCTAGAGTATAGAGGACCCACCCTAGGTGGCTCACTGCCTGGACAGTGTAACAAGGAAACGAGGGAGGATGAACTGACTTCTGCTCTTCAGACAAGAACCAGGCTTCACCCTCAGCTTGGATGTCATCTCTTGGCTTCTAGTGCAGACTCTTTGACTTCTCTCTTGGATCTTTAGCCTTCTGGTGTAGACTCTTCAGCCTTCCATCATAGACCTGTCGGCCTCCTAACAATGAGTTTGCATGGAATACTGCATTGAGCTCCAGATCTTGGATTGAGCCCTTCAGCCTCCAGCATGCAGATTCTCTCTGTACACATCCTCATCTGCCTCTGTGAAGGACCATCACAAGCCAATCTTTTAATTTCTTATACATTTTTATATCTTGTGTTATGTCTGTTTCTCTAGTAAAATCCTGACTGATACAGTAATATTATTCCAATGGGAAGCAAATCCCATACAAGTATACATGAAAAGAACAAAGACCTTTTAAGAAGGGATGAGTCCAAGGGTCATGCTTATCCACTGAGATGACTGATATCTATCTAGCTTCATTAGACCACACATTACCACTCATCTTATCCCCTGGGGAAGCATGTAGACCTGGTCCTTCTGCCTTCAACTTGAGGCCTGGCCTCCAACAGATGCGCCTCCAGCCACAACAATAATGTTTTTCATCTTTTGTATCAACTTGTTCACTCCTGTCTGATTGTCTATAAGATTTCCACCTAACTTAGCTGTTTATAATAGGAAGAAGGGGAGCTACTGCTCCTGGAACTCTGCGAAGACCTCGTACTGCACCGATGAATGAGCTAAGATTTTATTTAGCTCTGCTCCTGCTCCTTCTTTGGCTTGTGCCGTCCAGCTCTCATGTTCTCTGTAGCGCCAGATTTCATTCTTTAAGTCTGTTCAGTTCTCTGGCCCCTGGGGAAGCAGGAAAGTGAAGGAAGCAACACTATCAGATACCTACTGCCTGTAGATACCGAGCTGGGTAGTTTATGTGCATGTTCTCATTTTCTCCTCACAGGAATCCTTTGGGTTCCCTGATGTTGTTGTGTTTTGTAGATAGAAAACTTGCATTTGGAGAGGCTGAGTAATTCACTGGCAGTCACATGCACAGGAAGTGGCGGAGCCAGGACACAGGTCTGTCTGATGCCTGCACCTGGATGCCTAATCACAGAGTGCATCTGGTCTTGCTGGGGACCCATTGTCACTCAGCCCCACATCATTGTCCTTCATATTTAATTTTGGGCCAGCTGATGCAGATGGGCAGATCCCACTGGAGTTACAGGTCAGTGGCATACAGCGGGCCTGCCTCTGCTTCCTCAGGTAAGACCATCTTCCCTGGAACAGCCTTAGCATTTGTTTGCAATACTGGTGTGTATTTAAATGTGTAATTACCGATCCCACACAGAACTGTCACCCAGGGCAGACAGCTACTCTCTTATGCAGGAGCCAGAAGGTCCTGTGGTGCAGGCAGACATGTTTTTGAAGGGTACCCGAGGGAGTGAATGATAGGCAGGGCAGGAGAGGAGGAGGGACCGGGCAGAGGAACAGCTGTTCTTGGTGGCTCGAGTCACGTTTGTAGCTTAAATTAGCCTGGTTCTTTTCCAGCTCCACTGTGAGGGTGCTGCAGGGAGCCTGGGTGGCTCTTCTCCTCTGAGACATAGATTCGTCCCTTTTCTTTTCTTTCTAGTCCTCCCTTTTGGGTCCTTTCACTAAGGCATGAAGAGGCCAGGTGGGATGGCCCTAGTGTGAACTGTTTGAAAGAGGGTACTAGGATCTTTCTCTTGCCTCTTTCTTGTCTTTATTTGCTTGAAGTTTCACCATTAGAGATTAATTCTTTTATTAGAGTGTGACATGCAGTGAAGTCTTATCAGCAAATGTGTCAGCTTTCCCTCTTAGGCAGTATATTTGAAAAATTCAGAAAAATAAATTCTCATATAAGTCTGCTGCCATGTAAGGTGACTGTGCCAATAATAAGGGAAATCCTCTTGCCTCCTGTCCGTCTCATCCCCACTGCCCTCGGAGATGGCTGCACCAATGGAGGATGAAGGGCTCCACCAATGGGAGAGGTGGGGAGGGCAAGCTGGACCATCTATACCACCTTGCTTTTATCACCTCTGTTATGCAGACTCAGCTCATCTGCACCACAAACTTGGTCAAAGTTACCTTTCCTTTTAGGGTTTCTGTTTCCTTTCATGGGGCTTAAGATGGTACCCCAGGCCCCTTCCTGTCTTCCATCCAGCGAGTCTATCACCTGTCTTGGTGCACTGCCAGGGCAGAAGTTTTCTCAGCCTTGGCATCTTGCTGGTTAGAACCATGCTGGTCCCAGCTGAAAATGAGCCATGTCCCAAGATTAATCTTAAGAACAAGGCAAGACAAAACAAATGATTTTCTTATAGACTCTGCAGACAACTGAGCTCTCAGAAAGGACTACAGCAGGCCCACTAGGTTGAACCAGGTGTGCTGCCAGGTACAGGATGAAGATCCTCTCCAGGTTGGGGAATGCCTTTGATGGACCTTGATGGCAGCAGCACAGATAGCATGCAGTCTCTGGCTTTTCATTCCCTGAACTGGCCGGGGTCCCATCTGACTGCGGGTCCAAACAGTTGCCAGACAGAAGGCACCAGATCAGCACTGGCTACCACTTGGGCTTGAGGTTTCTCTGGAATCTTTGCCTGGACAGCTCGTTCTTCTTACAACTTATGTGTTCTCTTCACACTTTTATTCATTTGGTGTCTCATTATTTTAAATATTTGTGTTTTCTAATTGTTATCTATGTTTTTTTTTGTATCTCAAATTTTGGCACTTCTAATGCCTTTGTTCATTTGTCTGCTGATTTTGCGCGTGTTGGTTAGCTACTCCTGTTGAGTTGTAATTTTGGATTGTGATCTCCTGTCTTCAGTGGGACTTTGTCTGGGGATTATGCTCCTCCTGTTCCTCAGGCTCACTTTGCATTTGCTTCTCCCTGGCCATCTACCCTTCCTCTCCTTTCTTGTGTAGAATCAGTTTTCTGTTACTATTTCTGGTTGAGGTTGTTTAATTCTTTTTTTTTTTTTTTTATCGGTACCGGGGATCAAACTCACAACTGCCTGCTTGCAAGGCAGGCGCTTATGCTGCTGAGCTAAATCCCCCGCCTCAGTCAGATGGGACCTCAGCCAATTCAGGGAGTGGAAAGCCAGAGGCTGCATGCTATCTGTGCTGCTGCCATCAAGGTCCATCAAAGGCATCCCCCAACCTGGAGAGGATCTTCATCCTGTACCTGGCAGCACACCTGGTTCAACCTAGGGGGCCTGCTGTAGTCCTTTCTGAGAGCTCAGTTGTCTGCAGAGGTTGTATAATTCTAACCCCCACCCTGTGACGTACAGATATACTACCTAGAATTCTTTGTGGAGACTCCTCTGGTGAACCAGGAAGGAGCAGATAGATTTCCCTATGATCTCCCTGTGAAAGGGTTTTGGCCCAGACAGGACTCTGTAGCCAGGAAAGCCTCAACCGGAACCAGGAAGCCCCTATCTCCCCCGCCCCTAGGAATTTACCTGTGACGCCATCTTCCTGCCCCTGGGAATTTACTTCTGGCGCCAAACAAAGACCAACGGGCTACCTACCTGTGCATCCTTAATGCCCCCCTCGGGTTCCACCCCAAACCGAGGCTACTTATGTGCCTCACTCCGTGTGTTCCGTGGAGAGATCACTGACCCGGGGTGGAGATGTCCTGCCCCGGGGGGATCGGGGTGTCTCTCCCCGCATTCTCAAAATAAAGGTGATTTATATTTCATACTTCTTATCTTTTCAGCCGCCGCCGGTCCTCCCTCACACTTCTATCACCAGTATTAGGGAATGATTTTTTCCCCTAATTCATCCTATTGTCTAAAT